AAAAAAATCGATCAATTTCAAAAACTTTCATTTTAAGCTTGCTTAAGAATTGCATTACATTTTGTAAGGGCTAATTGATAGATTGAGATTTCTCTTTTTCATTACCAAAATTTTATTTTAAGAAACAAGATATAAATTTCTGAATTCGACAAGTTATATTTAGTTCAAACTTTGACATAATTCAGTTCAATTTAGTTAAGTTCAAGACTCATTTTAATCGGGTTCAATTCAATTGCTTACTTCATCTGCTTGATGTACTCTAAATTATTTCTGCCAGGATGGAAAGTTCGTTTGTTTTCATTGTATTATTCGACAAAGAAAATATAAGTATGGAGCAAATTGAAAATTTCCTTATCCGCAATAATGGAATGAAAGTGAGCAAAAACAATCGATCAAAGATAAATATTTTGATTGATTTGATCAAAAAGTAATCACTGATAATGAACAATTATCACATTGATTTGATCAAAAGGTAATCACTGATAATGGACAATTATCGCATTGATTTGATCAAAAAGTAATCACTGATAATGAACAATTATCACATCAATCATATGATGCAATCATCCATTTCTCTTTCTCAAAAATTTTTTCAAAACTATTTGAGAATGATGCTTTTCATTAATACTTGCAAAATAATTAAATGCAAACAAAGCATTGGATGAATAATTAAATTGCATGCATAACTAAATTTTATTCGAAAATTCAATTATTTCTAATTGATTGTTCAAAATCAGTCATTATTTTCAAACCTTTTTATATTATTAATTAATATACTATCAAAAGCTTTACCTGTATTAAATTTCAATTTTTCATAAATATGCTCCATAGGTTTTGCAAATTTGCCACTTTTAATTGGAAAACTAATAATAAATGAATGCAATCAATTATTGAATTTGCAGCAATGAATAAATATGGCAATTAGTATTTCTTGAAAGAAATATTAACAACTGATCTATGATCCATTGACCTTTTTTGATTAGCTTTTTCAAAAGGATTATGTGAGAATCAACAGCAAAATAGACAAATATCCGCAATTTATGCAGTCATTTAAAAAAAAGAAAAGAAAAAGAACTTAAATACTTAAACTACTTATCTTTGTTGTATTAAATTTTAGTAACAAGATAAAAATGAATTTTTCTTTTGCATCTATTCATTTTTAAAGAAAGATTGATGGAAAAAAATCAAAACAAAATAAGTAACTTTTGAAAGAAGCTTATAAATAAATTGGATATTTTTCTAACAGGTTATGGTGATGTAGCATGTAATACATCAATTGGTCGATTGATGACAATCATTTATGCTATCATTGGTATACCAATAATGCTTATCACACTTCGAGATCTTGGCAATTTTTTATATAAAGCAATTATCAATGTTATCCGATTGAAACATTTCACATTAAGCTTATGCCGAATATTTGGCAAAACAATTTATAAGACATCAATTCAACAAAACAATAATGATTTGGTACAGCTTGAAAATGGTATACCCATTGGTAATGGCAATAATGAAAGTGATAATAGTGATAATTGTTCAAGAAAGCTTAAATTTCATATTGATGATGAAATCATTGAAGGCAAGTCTTGTCTATTATTTAATTCTGCTTTATTTTGG